CTTCTGTCTCACTTGTTTTGTCATTCTGTGCAGTTCTCTTCCCACTATGCCCCTGCTGTGTACCCAGCCAAGGCCAAGGCCGGGGCGGTGGAGCGGTGGGCTGTTCTCTCCCCTCCAACTCGGGTGGGCAGGTGGGTGCTGGTTAACCGCCCCTCCTACTCCTTAGGTTTGGAGCTGATTCCCTGCCAGGCCTCTGGAGTCCCCCAGACTGGGCCCAAGTGAGGACCTTCGGGACACCGAGAGACCCCAAAAGAGGGTTCGAACTATGTTTAACCTGGAGCAGCTGGAAGAGTTGGAGAAGGTGTTTGCAAAACAGCACAATCTAGTAGGAAAGAACAGAGCCCAGCTGGCAGCCCGGCTCAACCTTACAGAGAACCAGGTAGGAACAGAGCCTCCTGTGGGCCCAGGCTGCACCTGGGGGCAGACACTACTCTCTGGAAGGCCCTGGTAGTTGGGATGAAGAAACGGGCTTTCTTCTTCTGTGCCAGGCCGTTGGGGGAGGCAGGCCTAATTAATTGGCACACTCTCTGCATGAATGAGAAAAATAGCCCCATTTGAAATGACATTATGGAAACATCACATAATAGCCTATATAATAAAAGGCTGATATGCAAATTGTCCCTACGGGCAGGAGTTCAACTGACCAGAAGTTAGACATGTATTGACCACCAGGGGGCGGCGCAGAACATGGCGGGTGTCGGTGATATGGTGCTGGCAGTGGGTGGTAGTGGAGGCGCTACCGGCCCAATGGGCCCCGATGAGAGCAGGACCGTGGTGGGATGGTGGAGCAGGTGAGTGGGCAGCACCGGGCCAAGGTGGGTGCGAAGGAAGGCCGAGGCCGGCAGCCAGCAGTGGCTAGGGACCCTACCCATGCATGAATTTCGTGCACTGGGCCTCTAGTTTATAGATATTAACCTAGAACTTTACATTTTCGTGCTAAATAAGGAGCTGGCAGTGAAATTAAGTAGGTATTCAAATAACTGAATATTAAAAATAATAAACATTCCCTTGACCCCCATACTCCCTTCCAGCTACTGCACCATTTCTCTGCTCTTTTCACAAACTTCTCAAGAACTGGCTATGTTCCCTGTCCCCATGTCCTCACTTCCCATCTACTCCTTAACACTTTCCAATGTGAATTCTTTCCCTTCCATTCCTATGAAACTTCTCATCAGGGTCTCTAATGACCTCTGTGTTGCCAGAGTCAACAGATGCGTTCCTCTCTTTTCTTCTTCCACCGCTCAGTACAGCTGGCTGCTCCTTTTCTCATTGAAACACACTCTTCTCCTGGTTTCCAGACACACACTCTCTCGGTTTTCCTCTCAGCTCTCTGCCCACCTCTCTGTTGCCTTTGTAGGCTATTCTTCTCGTTGTGACTTCAAATTTTTCTCCCCAGCTGATCTCATTTATTCTCATGGTTTGAAATACCATCTATAAGCCAATGACTCCTAAATTTGTATCTTAACCACCCCCCTCCCTTTTCTGACTTGTACATCTAACTCCCTTCCTGAGGTCTCCACTTGGATGTCTTATGGATAGGCATTTCAAATTTAACACGTCTAAACCTCAATTCTTGATGTTTTTCCCCTCCCCAAATCTGTCCCCTCTCCCCACATGTGACCCCACTATCTCTCCAGCTGCTCACAATACCTAGTCATTCTAGATTTCCCCTTCTCTCCCACTACCAACCTGTCAGCAAGCCTTGTCACCTCTACTCCAAAACACTGCTGGAATCGCTTCACCTCTCTCCATTGCCCCAGTCCTATCAGCCCCAGTCCTATCAGCCCCAGCTCTTGCTGGATCACTGCAAGAACCTCCCTGCCATCCCCCTGCATCTCCTTTCATCCATTCTGCACACAGCAGCCAGATGTGCCATGTAAATAAGACTCAACAAGTAAATAGGACTATGTCACATTCCACTTACAAGCCTTCAGGTTGACATTCCTTGCCCCTGACCTTCACAGTCCTGGGTGATCTGGCCCTCACTGACCTCTTCCACTTTCTCTTCCTTTACTTTCTCTTCTCACTTTTGGTTGAGCCAGGGATGCTCTCCTCCTTCCTGGTCCTCAAATACCCCAAGCTTGGTTCTACCTCAGAGCCTTCCTACAGCTCATACCCTGCCCTGGCCTGCTTTTCTTGGTCCCCACCAGGCTGGCTTCTTATCCACTGAGTCTCAGGGAGACTCAAACCCCTGTTTTTACCCCCATTTGCATTTAAATATGTGTTTGTTTCCATGCTTGTTATTAGTCTCTCTCTACTAGGCTGTGGGCTTCATGGGGGCAGGGACCGTGTCTCTGTTGCTCACCACTGTATCACCGTCACCTGGAGTAGTGCCTAGTACGTAATAGAAGCTCAAAAAATACTTGTTGGATGAACGATGAATGAATGGCAACTGGAATTAAGGAAAGGATGTGCTGGGGGCAATGCTTCCCTTAAATGGAAGAGCCAATTTTGAGTGGAGTGGGTTCTGTGGGAATGGGGGAAGCCATGGGAATTGCTAGTCACACTCTGATCTTTGCCCACTGCCTCCAATTATAGGTGAGGGTCTGGTTCCAGAACCGCAGGGTCAAGTATCAGAAGCAGCAAAGGCTGAAACCACCAGCTGTGTCTGCCATGGCTGCCTCCCCAGACGAGCCCTCCAGCAGCTCTGACACCATCATCCAGAGAGAAGACACGGAGTCAGGAGGGGACAGCTGAGGATTGGGATGAAGGCTCAACCCAGGCTGCCTGGGTTAGCTCTTCCTGGGGACACCCCCCTGGACCTACCTGCTCTACATATTGACAAAGAGTCTCATCGGGGTCAACGGGCACCAGAGAAATCTGAACCGTTGAGAACGTTTCAATATTGACTCCTGGAGGCTGCAATAATGTCATGGTCAGGAGCACAGACTTTGACCTTCAGCTATGTCCTTGGCCACGTTACTGAACTTCTGGGCCTTTTTTCTTCACTTGTATCATGGGTGTGTTGATAGCTTAGAGCTCCCAGGGCTAAGATGATGTCTGTAAAGCACTTACAGTGTGCCAGGCCCAGTGCTAAGTGTGTGGCAACTGTCAAGGCTTATAGACCCCTCCACCTGGGGGGGTGGTCCCTGTACCAGCCCTGGCTTCCCCAAGGATTAATCTCTTCCTGGCCTGGTTGTGGAGCAGACAGAGGCTCCTTGAATCAATGTCTGGGCATAGAAGACTCTTCCCCCACAGAAATGGTAGAGTTGACAGCAAAAAAAAGAGGGAAAGGTAGGCTATTTAGTCCCCTTCCCCTCACAAGGTTCCCCTAAGTTTTCTTGTTTTGTCTGAACTGTTATAACTCTCAGAAGGGGCCCAGGCCCAGGTGCCTCCTTGAAGCAGACATGCTACCCTGACCACCATCTTTCTCTCTAGCTTCCCTTCCTGATCCCCCCCTCCCCCGCATCTTTATATAGAGTAATTTGACTCTGCCTCTGCCAAGGCTGGCATTTTATCATAAAACTCTGCTGTTTTTTCATAAAACAGTGATTATTTACCCCTCTTCACTACCCTGACTCATAGTTCCCTTTCCTTCCCCGGAATCTGCTTGGTTTGTCTCTAAGAATCCTAACTGATAGCCTACCTCAGTGAAGACAGTCACAAGCATTTTCAGAGTAGATTTCTCTCAGGCTCCACATTCCTGGGTGGTGCACTGTGGTGAGGGTATTTCTTTAGAACAGCGGTTCTCAACCTGTGGGTCGCGACCCCTTTGGGGGTCGAACGACCCTTTCACAGGGGTCGCCGCCTAAGACCATTGGAAAACACATATATAACACAAATATGTTTTTGTGATTAATCACTATGCTTTAATTATGTTCAATTTGTAACAATGAAAATACATCCTGCATATCAGACATTTACATTACGATTCATAACAGTAGCAAAATTACAGTTATGAAGTAGCAACGAAAATAATTTTATGGTTGGGGGTCACCACAACATGAGGAACTGTATTAAAGGGTCGCGGCATTAGGAAGGTTGAGAACCACTGCTTTAGCATGTAGAGGTGAGCTGGTGGAAGGAGGCCTGCCCTGCCACCTAGTGGTGAAAGAGGGCACGGTCCCTGCTGCTCTAGTTTTCTGAGGGAGGAAAGGCAGGCAGTAGAGTCAGCCTTGGAAAACCACCTGCTTCCCAAAGCAGTGGGCCATCCTCTCCTGGACACCAGGCTGTAGGCGTGAGGGAGGCCAGGGTCCAGCTCCAAGAACCCTTCTCTGTACCCATCTTCAGGGAAATCCTCCCTAATGCTGGACCCAAAGGCAACTCTATTAATCAAAGAACCCAGCTGAATCTTTTCTGCCTCTTCCAGGAACAACTGGCTCACTTTTTTTTTTTTTTTAAATCAACAGTTACCTTTTCAGCAGTTACTGGGCTCTACTCAATCCCCAAATGTCGCCATGGGACCACGGCAGAAGCAGACACAGGTCCCTTTTCAAACGTACAGAATCAATTGGAAGACAAGGAAACAGGGCATGGTGGTCAGGCCTGGCTGTGGGGACCCATGACTTATAGATCAGTGGTTGCAGCCTCCTGGGGTCCTGAATGAGAAAACAGCCCCTCTCTGGTTGTCAGGACAATGTGCATATGTACACTCACTCGCCTGCATATAATTTTAGGGGATCTCAGATGTGGCATCCACTATGGATCCTACTCCACCCCGCCCCTTGCCCTGGCTGCAAAGTCCCTAAGCCACTGAAGAGTCTGAGACAGGAATAAGTCCAACTTGATCATTGGTAGGACTGTCTGCCCCGCTGCCAGAGGGCCCACGGAGAAGGGAAATACTGTGCCAGACTTTGTGGAGTAAGCTAGTCCTTCCCTTCAGGTTGAGGGTTAGAGAGGATAGGAGTAACTCTGCCCACTGCTGTCCTACCTCTCGGCTGGGTCCAAAGACCTGCTTTTAGTCAAGACGCGCCAGTGAATGGACAGAGACAACAGACACACAAACATGAACTCAGACACAGGTGCACACATCAAAACTATACAGCACACCAGCTCTGATACAGGCCCATCCTGGCCGCGAAGACAGAGACAGATGCAAAACTGCACAAATGTAAAAGCACAAAGGCAGACCCAGCTGGCGGGGCTCAGTGGTTGAGCATCTACCTACCAGCCAAGAGGTGAGGGTTCGATTCCGGTTCAGGCACATGCAGGGATTGCAGGCTCGATCCCCAATG